TAAAAAATAAAAAGGAAAAAATAAAGAAAAACTACATAAAATATTCAGTTGCTACAACCAAGATTGATTTTAAGAAATCATTGTGTATATCAACTACCTTGAAGGGTAAACACCATCTATTCTAAAAGAAAAGAATTTTAAAAATCTTCTTTGAACATTTTCAATGTAGTTTATATAGGTGTTAACAATATGATTCCATATTAAGGCACCATATTCAAGTTTTGACCTTACTAGATAAAAATATAATGAGTTTAAGGCGGTTATGTTTGTAAATGTCTTACAGTTTCTTATAATAAATCCCAACAATCTTAAAGAAGCCACAACGATGTTATTGATATGTGCAGAAAAAGTGAGCTTAGAATCAAACAATAAACCCAAATCTTTAACCTTATTGCATCGAACTAACTGGGTATTGTTATAATGGTAGTTGTAAATAATAGCATTATTTATTTTTATAAGTGTAGGAGCAGACTTTGCATTTACCAACATTCATACCTAACTTATTAATTAAACACCATGACTGAACAGTATCAATCTGTGACTGCAGACTTATACAATCTGATACGCCTTTTATATTGTTAAAAATCTTTAGATCATCTGCATACAACAAACTTTTACAATCATGTATACTCGTTAGGTCATTAATATAAATTGTGAATAAAAAAAGAACCAAGATTGGATCCTAGCGAAGTAAGCTTGAGACTTAAAGCTGTTATATACCACAAATTGTTTACGATTATATAAATATGAACGAAAAAGTGCAACAAGCGAATCACAAAATTGTGTCAAAAGCCTTCGAGAAGTCCGTGTACAAAACGTCAACCTGTCTTTGTTCTTAAGTTAGTTATAAGGTTACAGTCAATACTGGGAGCCAAGAATACGCTCTTAAAAAAGTCTGCAAAACCCTCAACAATATCCATTGGCTGTGCTAAATGTCTATCGTGAAGATAAACCATACCTGGAATACGGGAAGAGGCCTTCTGTTAACTAATTGAATAAGTACTTTGTAATTATTATAGACATTTTGTAGATTTAATAACAAAATTCCATGTCAATTTTAACCATAATTCTTGTATTTTTTTACAAACTTTTATGTAGACCCAGTATCAAAAGTATTTGTTGTAAATTGGGAACTTTAAAAAAAAGAATTTGCTATAAGAAATTATGCTTTATTAAACAATTTTCTAAATAAAACAAAATTAACACATACCTACATAAATAAACACAAAAATAACCTACACAAAATTAAATAACACACCATTCTGAAATCATCAGATTATATAGAAATTTGGTACAATATAACTATCAGTACTACTAAAACACTTACTGATGTAATTTAACCCAATTCACTGTATAGTCTAATTTTAATTTGAAACCCAGTAATGGCATCACAGATTATAAAGGCATTATAAACACTCCTGTCACTGTTAAATATTATAAACACCCGTTCACGCTGACACAACTTGTTGATAAGTGTGTTGGGCAGGGAAATGTTTTGATTGGCTTCCTGAAATCACGTATACTTTTTGAACGAAATAATTTGTTAAAAACTAACAAAATAATCTGTAACCTTTGAAATTAACAAAATGCTTACAAAATTGCATATTATCTTTACAAAACTTTTGGTAAACTATTTTCCTTTGTTAAAATAATTACAAACCCAAGTTGTATACAAAAAATTTTGTAAAAATTTTACAAAATAAAATTAACATACAAACTCATGTTAACAAATCTTATTTTTATAACCGTGTAGGCGCAGAAGTTTTCAGATGAATGGATCAAATGATTTGATCCATCCATCTGAAAACTACTGCGCATGTATACTAGATTTAACTACTCCACATAGATCCAACCATTTGATTCAAATGCGCGACATTTTCGGGGTAAAAAGTCCACTTTATCAGTGTGGTCTTTATTTATTTCCAGTTTAAATTTCTATTGAAAAAAATATAAACGAATTCGTATTTCATTCCAAATAATTTTTGTATTCATACCTAGGTACTTTTACCACGAGTGAAACGAGACGAGAGAAAGGCACTCTCGAGCGAGAAAAGAGTATTCTCGACCAGAAGAGAGATCCATTTTTTCTCGCTGCACGAGACGAGCCGAGAGAAGGACTTTTCTCGTCTCGTCTCGCGGCATCACTACTTCTTTTCATTTGTTTTATTTTTATGATTGAAAAATGGGGGAAAGTTCAAGAGAATGAAGGAATGGTGAAAGTGGCGAAAATTAAAACCTAATTTTGACAAAAAAGTGAAAAATTAAATTTAACCGGCTGAAGGACTACGGTCAATAGCCTTTGAACTTGGTTTTAGTTAAATAAAGCATTATTATTATTAAATTTAATGAAAAACCTTGCTTGTAGAATAAATAAATTTAGATTTAAGGCAAGCGAAACTATTGGTTAAACATTGTTTTTTGTAGATGAGTTCATGAAGGTATAAAACCATAATTTTTTAATTCAAATTCATGTTTATCGTGTTGTCTAGTATGGTGATGTTGTTGAGAATTGAATTTATTTTAAGTTTATTTTTGTAAAAGGTAATTGCCATCTGCATACTAAAATTTTTAGATAAGGCATATCGGCTATCTCGTGGAGATGCTCCCATTCCGGTGATAGATCTAAGAAGGTTATTTTGAATGCGTGGAATGGTGGTGTAGTTCATTTCAGATGTCGAGCACCAGACGGGATGATCGTATGTAATAATGGGCCTTAGTACAGCCTTAAGGCCAAACTCTACAATTGTAGAGTTTGGTTTTGTTTTATGTGAGAATGCACTTTTTTGTAGACATATGTTTTAAGGCTGTGAAGACCCTGGGTTTCATTTTTTTGGACTTGTTTAGTCAATGACAGGTGTGATGCCAAAATATTTTACTTCTGGTTTTTCCCGAATTGTGAATCCGACAAATGGCGTTATTATTATGCGGATGTAAATTTTTTAGTGAAGTGAATGAGCTCGGTTTTGTCATTATTTATTTTAATAAGCCATTTGTCAAAAAACAAGGTCAGCATTCTCAGGTGGATTTTAACCTGGGCGGCAGCCACCTGGGTGTAAATTGAATAGACATACACGATGGTGTCGTCTGCATAAAGCCCTATCTAAATTAAGGTGTGTCGGCTGTGAAGAGACTGTAAAGTTTCGGCGCAAGTACCGTCCCTTGCCGGACGCCTGCCTCTATTTTGCAGGAGTGTGATAACCTGGAATTTATATTGACTTTGAAGTCGCGGTTTCTTAAGTAAGACGCCAGCAAATTTAGTAGAGGGCTGGGAATGTTTAACGTCTGTAGTTTAGACACAAGACCGGAATGCCAGACCTTATCAAAGGCCTTCTCGATGTTCGGCAGGACCATCACCGTGTTCTGGCCAAGGTTACTTTCCTGCTGAACATCGTAAACGACCCTCACAGCCTGGCGTATGGTCCCGTATCTGGGTCTAAACCCGAATTGTTCATTAGTGATTATGGAGTGTTTTTTGTCCCACTTTTTGGGGTGCTTGAGTATGACTACCTACAACTGCTCTTTTCCATTGTGTTGAAAAATGTTAGAATTTAATGATGTTGTTTATTAGGTATTGCAGTTGTACAATGGATTTTTTAGGAAGGTTTTTAAGGAGGAGGTTATCGATTTTGTCAGGACGAGGGGCTTTATTATTTGCCAGCGTCTTAATAATTGACCACAACTTTATTGTAATACACTGTTTTATTTCATCGGGGGTTAATGGCTAGGGTGTTTTGTAGAAAATAAAGTTTCCTGAGTTTTGGATGCGTCCTTGCTCTTCGGTAAAGTGTCTTTGGTTTGGTTGGTAATGTGAATCTTGGCAAAATGGTCTGCAAGCGCAGCGTTGGAAATCGATTATTATTTTCCGACATCGGTTCAACGTTGGATGGACGTCGGAAATTAATTATCGTTTTCCAATGTTAGACCGCTCGTTTTGCCGACGTTAGACCGAGGTCGATTATCGTTTGCCAACCGATTATCGCATTTTTTCGGTCTGACGTTGGATTGACGCCGGAAATTGATTACCCTTTGCAGACGTTGGACCGAGGTCAAAAATCGATTATCGTTTACAGACGTTTTAACACTCGTTTTGGGGACGGTGGTCCAATGTAAAAACGCCTAGCGGCCGACAGCCGATTGTTTGTCGGGAGGGTACAGAATTGGGCGCGTTTGATGGGTGTGAATGTCCAATTTACACCCAGCATACGCGGGTGAAGCCGTGCAGTTACTGGTCGCGGAAAAAATTCGGAGTAGGGTAACGGAGGCTTGTGCGGAGCTCGGGAGTGATAAGCAATAGGGACAGTTATACGACTCTCATACATACATAGGAAATAACACTTCTACCCAAGTGTTATTTTCCATAGATTCTTTTAATAATTCATTTTTAAACTCGAGCAATCAAAGAGGATGTTAATGTATTAAAAATTGATTATTACAGTGTATTTTTATGGTAATCTAAAAAATAAACCCTAATTTTGTCATTATTACAACAAATTAACATTTAATATTGTTACTTATTTACTTATGTTGTTTTTACATTTTATTAAAATGATTTGTAATAAAGTTTTAATTTGTTAATTAAAATACAACGTTTTATTTTTTGTACATTGGCACCGCTAAATTTATTTATAAAACACTTAAAATGAAGATACTACCTTAGACCAGATTATTTTTATATCACAGAATCTACGTATTTTATTGATTGCGTTTGAAAAGGTTAAATATGAATCATTACATGTTCGCAAAGGTTTTTTCATACGCGTACTCTACCTTTTAAGAAATATTTTTTTGCCTTTTTAACCAATGTTGTAAAAATTTTGATTTGCCGACTTAATATGTAAAATTCAAAATGACCCATTATATACAATTTTTTATATATTTTTTATAATGGTATTAATGGGAACTTTAAATGTAGAATGATCATCATAATTAACGTGGACAAAATATATTTATAATTAATTATTATAATAAATCATTTTCATTTTACAATAAAAAATTTTTAGAATCTTGCTTTTTACCACAAGAAATTGGTCCTTGCAAGGTTGCTACTCGCCGATACTTCTATGATAGATCAGATGGCGTTTGCAAAGGATTTACTTATGGAGGTTGTGAAGGCAATCAGAATAATTTTAAAACCGCTGAGGAATGCAATGAACAGTGTGGGTCTGCACAAGATTTATGTAGGTTACCACCAGTAGTTGGACCTTGTAATGGAGAATATGAACAGTACTATTATGAAGAAGCAAGTGATAGTTGTAAAACTTTCTTATTTGGAGGATGCGACGGAAACTACAATAGATTCGCTGATAAAAGTTCATGTGAGCAAAGATGTAGAAAGAAAAGACCAGATGAATATACTACCCGGGAACCAGCCCCAGCACAAGGTAATATATTAATTAATTATCAATTATTCATATTACAAGTGCCAATCGCCCAGAAAACCAAGGTTTGGAAAAGAAGTTAGTCAACTTTCAAGTTTGCTGTACGAAATTTTACATTTATTGGCGTTTATTTGGACATATAAACAGTGGCGTAGCTAGCCTCGAGGGGGCCCCGTGTCAAAAATATGGTAGGGGCCCTTATACGGGAAAGTCTGCTTTGGGTAAACAAAAAAATTGTAGGGTATAATTTTTTTGCATTTACCAATATACCAATATTACCAATTATGGTTTTAGACATTTACCGTTCTTCAACTTCAAGGTTTCTACTTTAAAACAAAGGCAAGTCATTTGAAATAATTGTAACGCTAATAATTATTTCTAATTTGCCATTAATATAACCTATGATAATAACACGCAAAGCAGACTCAGTTTGTGGCGCAGAGCACATAACAATATGCGCAGACTGCGCCGCAGACAATACATGGTGGAAAGGTGCGGGCAGAATCAGGCGAGTTCACGGCCTCGTTGGCACAGAAGGGTATTCAGGAAAATTTTAATGTAATCAATCGAAGTATAAACAATTAAATAATAATATTATTTATCTCTCATATAAATTGGTATTTTTATTACGTTTGACCAAAAAGTGACATATTTAGATTATCTTTGGTATTTATTTCACAACGCGATAGCTCAACACCTGCATGGCAATAAAGACTTAAATGTGATGCGAAAAGGAAAACAAGTTTAAGTATTTATTTTTTTTCAAATTTAATTATTTTGGAAAGCGCTTTACACTTTTAAAATAAATTTTTATTTGGCAGTCAGGATTACAAATTTGCTCGAAAATAAAATATATTTAAAAATATATACAGGGTGTTTCATAATATATGCGCAGGACTTCAGGATGTCAGGATGTGATAGCTCATCCAAAAAGATGAAAAAAGTCGCTATTAACTTAATTAAATGCACAATTTTCGAGATACAGGGTGTTAAAATTTTAGAAAAAAAATCGTTTTTTTAGATTATCTCTGGAACCGTTTATCGTACAAGAAACAGCTTTTGTAAGCATTTTCTACTCATAATAAGCTATGTTTTGTGCCAGAAAAAAATTTTTTTTACTCATAATTGGTGGAGATTTTGAAGGGGTAGCGGGTGTTTTTCTCCTCAACTTCAACGCCCCTGAAAAAAGTACGGTTTTGAGAGACCCATTCGAACAGCCAATGTTTTGTACAGAAAAAAGGTACTCTTGGTCATAAGCTCTAAAGTTGACCGTTTTAGAGAAAAATCAACTTTTATGTTTAAAAACATGGTCAACTTTAGAGCTTATGACCAGAAGTACCTTTTTTGTGTAGAAAACATTGGCGGTTCGAATGGGCCTCTCAAAACCGTACTTTTTTCAGGGGCGTAGAAGTTGAGGAGAAAAACACCTGCTACCCCTTCAAAATCTCCACCAATTATGAGGAAAAAAATTGCTTATTTTGAGTAGAAAATGCTTACAAAAGCTGTTTTTTGTACGATAAACGGTTCCAGAGATAATCTAAAAAAACGATTTTTTTTCTAAAATTTCAACACCCTGTATCTCGAAAATTGTGCATTTAATTAAGTTAATAGCGACTTTTTTCATCTTTTTGGATGAGCTATCACATCCTGAAGTCCTGCGCATATATTATGAAACACCCTGTATAATAATTTTTTTCCATGCAGTGTTAAATTATAAACAACTTTAAATTCTCAGTACTAAATACTGTTATTCCCAAAAATTAATAAATTTTAATATAAACGAGAAAAACCCAATTTTCTGTTTTTCTAGTAATATTCTTCCATATATAATATTGAATATATATAAATATATTTTATATTTGTAAATACACAAGATTTGTTCAAATATTTGCCAATAACTGGTCATGACTGCCCAAACAAAGGTCAACGTGAACACAGATTTTTATAAATATAAAGTACAAATCCATGTTACACCGTAATTTTGGCGAACACCATTTTGACCCTCAATATAAATTTAAACTTTGTTTAAAATTAATTGTTGTTGGTGATTAGTATTACTTAATATGCAAGATTTTGGATTAAATAATTTAAAAAGACAATAAAATTCAATAATATTAGAACCAATAAAATGCCAGTATTCCTTCCATTTATTCCACATTTAGTTAGATAGATTTTGACATTTTTCTTGATTTGACATTTGGTGACATTTAAATCCTGTGTTTGTTATAATATACACTTCGCGTCAAATTTAACGCACCAAGTTGATTTTCTCGCCAACCGTCAAACCCAACTTGGTAGTTTTTGTTTTAAATTGTTGGTTTATTCTTATATATTTTTTTTATATTTACGTTTTGAGTATATAGTTTTATAACCGGCTTTTTTTTATCTATGACCGGCACCTCGAGTACTCCGTATTCTCCGTTGCTAGGTGCCTTCGCGTCGCTGGTATTTCCCGGAACAACGCGGCGATCAACCCGTTCGTTTGTTCTATGGCGTTTAGTTTGGCTTGAGGGTTTGCAAACTACAGGTCCTGTAAGTTTGATTTAGTCACTTAACTTACATAAAAAACAAACTTAAAATTCGTCGCGATCAAAATGTAACCGTAACCGAGTGCAGGGAACAGCGACACAGCGCGCTGAAGCCGTTGCCAGCGGCTTGCTTTCCAGACTCTCTAGCAGTATTAAAGCAGTTCCAAAGTAACTGGTGCTTTCGGCGTAGGACGCGATACCGCGACGGTACTAAAAAATACCGCTACTTTGTCCACAGATACCGTCCCACCACTAATATGAAGTAGAAGTTGCGAAATGCAAATATATTTCGCAACTCATATTTCATATTAGTGGTGGGACGATATCTGTGGAACATATTCGTATTTCGAAATTCGCATTTCGCAACTAAACTGCGCACCACTCAATGTGTCGCGACCAAAAAGTTCGTCCTTTTTCAAAACAACATAACTTTTTTGTTTCTTAAACGATTTCATTTTGGTCTGTAATGTCTACTAGCCCCATCCTCTGGCAATTCATGCTATAGATATGAAGCTCGCGGTTCTTCAAGTAAATTTCGTACAGGGTGATATGTAAAATGGTGAAAAATTTCAATAACTTCATCCAAGCCCAGTTTGAAAAAAGAAATATTTTTTCTCGTTTATGTCTTACCTTGAAAGGGTTTCCAAATTTTTCGAATTGGAATCTTAGCAACGAAAATATGATTTTTTTACAAAAAAGTACATTTAAGGGTTTTTGGTAGGCAATACACTCAGTCTTTTTAAGAACAAGAAGATAAAATGGTGAAAGATTATTCCTTGAATAATTCTGAACAAGCGACAAGCAACAAACTTCCATTATTTTCAGAGGGGCCTAAGCAAAGACCACTTTTTCAAAATGACATTTTGGTGAAAATTTGCGAAAACTAAACCTGAACCGATATTTACGTTCGTGACATGTTTTCTTTATAATTTTAACCACGATATCACTAACAACCAAATCTCTATATATCTCAGCATTCTTTCTTTCCATTCATCGCCATTTCACCCCAAATAGTCACTCCTCCACCTCCAAAAGCCACCCTTGCCTACCGTTTCGTGCAATCTTATGCGAACCGTTGATTTGAAGATGTTAATTTCCGTAGCTGCAGCATTGGTATTTTAATCATTTAAAGGAAGAATTGAAGTAACCTTGGTAAGATAGAGTTAGGTATGTAGGTAGGTAGGTATAACTTATGCAAAAAAAACTTGAAAAACACAAGCAAACTGATAAAAATCAAGAATATCCCTCATAATGAGTTTTAAATGTTTTTCAAGAACTAATATTCATTTGATCCTCGATTTGATTATTCAGCGACATGATAATATCGTACTAAAGATGCAAAACATGGTAAAAAAAATAGTAAAAACCAGCAATCGTATTTTATTGAGACATTTAAGAGCCGGGAATTATTTTAGAATCTTGATTCTTGGTGATTTTGGTTGTATCTGAAATTTGATAACTGAATCACAATCAGGAGGTCAAAATTATGAATAAAACATGTCACAAACGTAAATATCGGTTTAGGTTTAGTTTTTTCAAATTTTCACCAAAATGTTATTTTGAAAAAGTGGTCTTTGCTTAGGCCCTCTGAAAAAAAATGGAAGTTTGTTGCTTGTCGCTTGTTCAAAATTATTTAAGGAACATTATTTCACCATTTTATCTTCTTGTTCCTAAAAAGACTGAGTGTATTGCCTACAAAAAACATCATATTTGAAAAACGCTACAAGGTAAGACTCATTATTTTAAAGAAAAAAACCAGAAAAAATTATTTTGTTACAAACGGGGCTTGGATGAAGTTATTAAAATTTTTCACCGTTTAACATATCACCCTGTAGAAAATTTACTTGAAGAACCGTGAGCTTCATATCTATAGCATAAATTGCCAAAGGATGAGGCTAGCAGACAACACAGACCAAAATAAAATAGTTTAACAAAAAAGTTATGTCGTTTTGAAAAAGAACGAACTTTTTGGTCGCGACACATTCAGTGGTGCGCAGTTTATATGAAACCGTTGTAAGCGTTTAAAGGTTGTTTTCTGCTCTTAAACTTTTACTTCCCCCAACAAGATCAAACATAAAAGAAAAAAATTTAGAGGAACAATTATTTGCAAGAACCAACAGAATTTTTGGAGTCTAAGAAGAAAAAAATATTAAAGTTCAGTTTTTTCTTTTTGGATAAGACAAAAAAAAGTAATTTAATTACAATCCAAAAAAAATGTACAAAAAAATGTAATTTTATAATTTAACCCTTTCAGTACTAGCGGGACATATGTCCCAACATAGCTTTATAACGTACTAATGGCTTCGCCGCAATTTATTTTAATGCGGTGTGCTGTCCCAATATTCTTTGGTTAAGCCTCGAAAGTGCAAATTCATTATTTAGTAGGCCTTCGATCTACTTCGCATGTACCTATTTGGCTTGTTATAACCTGTTTTGATGCAATTCGTGTATTACTATTGGTAGAATGGTAATACA